GAAGAAGAAGAAGAAGAAGAAGAAGAAGAAGAAGAAGTAGTAGTTCAAAGAATGTTGGCTGATGGCGCAAGACAAAATGAGCAGGTTTGGATTTTGAGGCTGAGGGCTGCTAATCAGTGAACCATCTTGGCATTTCCAACAAAACCCAAGCCTACTCTCAAATAAGGGGCTTTTCACTCATGCCCTCTCTAAGAGTGGGTCCCATGGATTAAGCTTCACCAAACTGTGTTCATAAGTCAAGGACCACCTGTTACTCCAGCTTGTTTTACAACAGGCTTGTGACATTGAAGACAGTCCGGGCTGCTCATCACGCAGCAGCCTGGAAAGACTCTGCTCCAAAACCAGAAGCATGAGATACGTACCCAATTTCACTTCGGCGTTTTCCGTCAACAGCACGTTCTGCCCCTTAATATCTCGATGGATAACATGGTGGGCATGTAAGTGAGACAGACCCTAGAAGAAAGATGACCCAGCGTTAACTCTTTGGCTCATTTCTGCGTCTTTCCAAACCGTAGAAACGATAGATCCCTACTTGCAAGCCCTTAGAATAGCCAACCTTCCCCAACGAGGTACCTTCAAGAGGCATCACGGTACGACACAGCTCACCAGCTGGTTTGGGAATTGTGGAACTGCACAACTTGCACCCAGCTAGTTAATGGAGCAGATGGATCTGGTTCATCACTCCAAGGTTTGAAAAGACACCAGGTGGACTTCAAAACATCATAAAATGTAGACAATAGATGCTGTAGGTTTGTGAAGTCTGACCACAAAGGTTGTAGGAGACAGGTAGACCTCAACTTATAAATGTTTCTTTAGTGACCTTTTGAAGTTCTAGTAGGAAGATGGATCTTGACAGACTAGAACACTGGGCTGTATCTAAAAATATGAAATTCAATGTAGAGAAAAGTAGAGTCCTACACTTAGACAAGAAAAACTGAAAGGACACATATAGACTGGGTGAAACCAGGCTCAAAAGCAGGAACTGGGAGAGGGATCCTGGAGTCTTAGTGGACAACCAGCTAAATAGGAGCCAGCAGTATATAGCAGCAGCCAAAAAAGCTAATACAATCCTAAATTGTATTAACAGAGGGATATAATCAAGAACAAGGGAGGTACTAACACCACTCTATAAAGCCTTAGTAAGACCACACCTAGAGTACTGCATCCAGTTTTGGTCACCACACCATAAAAAAGATGTTGAGACTCTAGAAGAAGTGCAGAGAAGAGCAACCAGGATGATGACTGGAGGCTCAAACATGCGATGAATGAGGAACTGGGCCTGGCTAGTCTAGTGAAGACAAGGACCAGGGAAGACATGGTAGCAGTCTTCCAATATTTGAGGGGCTGCCAGACAGAGGAGGGGATCAAGCTATTTTCAAAAGCACCCAAAGGCCAGACAAGGAACAATGGAGGGAAACTGAACAAGGAGAGATTCGACCTGGAAATAAGGAGAAACTTTCTGACAGTGAGAACAATCAACCCATGGAACAGAAGTTGCCTTCAGAAGTTTCTGGAGCGCCATTACTTGAGACTTTCAAGAAGAGATTGGACTACCATCTCTCAGACATGGTGTAGGGTCTCCCGCTTGGGCAGGGGGTTGGACTAGATGACCCACAGGGTCCCTTCCAACTCTGATTATCTGTTATCTGTTATGAAGTTATCTCGTAGTTGCTAGGAATCAGCACTGCGTTCCCCCTAAAAAAGGGATAAAATATCCCAAGCTAGATTTAGATGTCCCAAGTTCCAACGGCACTGAAGAAGGTGAATTATGACCCCTTTTCACACTTACGACCACTGCGGCATTTCCAGGGTCATGTGATCAAAATTCAGATGCTCGGCCACTGGTTCATATTTATGATGGTTGCAATGTCCCAGTGTTTCATGATCCCCTTTTGTGACCTTTCAACAAGCAAAGTCAGCTTTGGAAGCCATATTAGTACCAGAAAGCTTCCGTGCCACCACATTCTTGAGTTTGGGAAGCTGGGAGGCGGGATTTCATGGAGCGTATATAGATAGACATAATAGCATTCTTCTTTTACAGTCAAGGTCATGTTATTGCTGCACCTGGTGGGGGACCGGTTGAAAGGATGTCTCAAGGTATATGAAAATACCAGTCTGGCTATCAACATTAGAAGCTTTTACACATCCACAATTTTTAAAAAGGAGCACATGATCAGATATGAAGAAATTTTAAATGAAAAGGGTGAACTCAGAACAAAGCAAGAATTAGAATTACAAGGGATTAAAAATGAATTGGTATTCATATTTGCAAATACATACAAGGTATGAGAAAGACATCAAGATGGCTGAGTTTTATAAGGAATTAACTGAATTGGATAAAATCCTAACAGGCCCTGAAGAGAAGTTGATTAAAAAAATTATATGGTTATTTATTAGAAGTGAAATTAGAGGAAGTTAAAGAATCAATGATTGCATGGGGGAAAAACTTCAGATATGGAATAGACTTGGATAAATGGCAGATACTATGGTCTAGAAACCAGAAATTAACTATCTCAACAGCCTATAAAAAGAATTTGTATAAGATGTTTTATGGGTGGCATTTACCCACAACAAGAATTGCCAAGATGTTTAAAAATAAGTCGGTGAAGTGCTGGAAATGTCTGAAGTTACCAGGATCATACGACCATATGTAGTGAACGTGCACAAAAGCTAAAAAGTATTGGACTAGAATACATAGGTGACTGGAGAAAATGATAAAACAATCTATAGATTTAAAACCAGAGACATTTTTATTGGGAATTTTGCTTGAGGGTTACAACAAAGAGTTAACCTACTTGATCATCAATGTATTAATAGCAATGTATTAATAGGATTGTATTTGCACAAAATTGGAAAAATGAGAAAATTCCAGTGGATGAGGAAATAATGAATAATGGAATGTGCAGAAATGAGTAGATTGACAATGGCAATTAGAGAACAAGAGAAAAATGATTATTATAAAATTTGGAATTTATTTTATGAATGGCTAGATAGAAGAGTAAGAAATTGAAATATGTTAAGTACAGTATAATATTTATTACCGATAAACAAATGAGTTAGACAGAGTAAGAAAATGAATGCAACATATATTACTGAAAGTCAATAAATATAATGTTAAGGTTAATATAATAAGTGATATATGTGATATAAAATACTGATTAGAATAATTATAAACATATATAAGTAAAATATGTATGATGATGGTATTACGTACACAAAGAAATGGGTACACAACTGACACACTGATGAAGAGAAACAAGGTTTTACTTGTTTGTTTTTGTTGTTATTTATACACACACACACACACATACACACACATACCCATATATGTTGGAACAGATGGGGATTGGGGCATGTGAGGGAGTGATGGGTGCAGAAGGTGGATTTGTAATTTTTTTACTTATTGGAGGAAAACCCAGAACTCTCAGATTTGGTTTTTACCAGATGTGCCAGTATGACAACTCTAATAAAATGGGACTTTGAGAAAATGCCTGTCTCAGAGTTTTGCTTGTTTTTCTGGAACGCTGAGACAACGGGGAAGACCGATTCACCGAACAACCGTGTTACTAACACAACATCTGCAGGCATTCACTTAGTAATGGTGGCGAGAATGGTTGTAAAATGGCGCAAGTGTCACTCAATGCCTGTCTCGCTTAGCAACAGAAATGTTGGGATCAATGGCAGTCCTACATTGAGGAGTCCCTGTCTGTTGGTCGTTTCCAACCCAGCCTTGACTTACTCGAAGGACCTCTCTGCAGATGTAGGCAATCCAGTCTTCCTTGAAGCAATTCCCTTTCGTCTTCTTCACCAAATCTGTGACAGAACCAGCACCACAATACTCCATGACCAACTGGGGAATGGAGAAATTAAAATTAAAAACAAAATGGCGGTGGACAGTTCAGAAAGTTTACATGCACAAATCCATCTGGTTCAGTTCCAAGCTGAGAGGAAGAAAGACGCTGGGAACAACATGGAGGCCAGAGGTGGGTATTCAGCCGGTTCTGACCAGTTCTGGAGAACCGGTAGTGGAAATTTTGAGTAGTTCAGAGAACTGGCCAATGCCGCCTCTGACTGGCCCCGCCAACCCCACCTCTTCTCTGCCTCCCAAGTCCCAGCTGATTGGCTGGGTCTTCTTTGGTTGCCCTGCACTACTCTTCCTCCCGCTCCTCCTCCTCCTCCTCCTCCTCCTCCTCCTCCTCCTCCTCCTCCTCCCCCTCCCTGCAGACCTCACTCCCTTCTAGCACTGATGATGTTACCTAGTTTGGGTCATGAAACGTTTGCAAGTAAACAGCCAAGCTCAGAGAGCACCAAGGACCCCACAGTTTGCTAATCTTTCTCCTGAACACACCTGAGAACTTCTTTTACTTCACTGAAACCCAGGAAGAGTATAATTTTGTCAGATGAGGAACCCCTCCAAGAATCAATTAGTTCCTCAATGGGAACCCAGAGTTACCTAAATTTCCAAACAGGTGTATCTGTACAGAAAAAAAGAGAAGAGAAGAGACCTACCCATAATTGGTCATCCTGACCTACTGGACTTTTCTTGACAAAAGCACCGTAATAGGTCGCAATGTTCCGATGGTGAGAATACTTCTTCAGCATATTAATTTCCAACTTGATTTCTTCCTCCTCATCCTAAAACGAACAAAAACATAGGATATGAAAATAGAGGCGGCAGCGTCCTGGGGGCTTCTCCAGTCAATTCTCTTTGAGGTCAGCTTTGCAAGCCATATTTTACTTCGAAGCTTCGAAGCTGCCACATTTTAGTGCCTAGGAATTTGGGAGGGGAGGAATGGCATAGGGTGGTGGTTATAACATTCTTCTCATTAAGTCAAGGACAAGTTACCCTGTACCTGGGGAGGAGTGTCTGGAGCAGGGGTCGCCAACATTTTGGAACTCAGGGACCACTAAACTCATAATTTTAAATCCCGCGGACCCCTAATATGAATTTTGACCTACGGTGGCTTGCTGCGTTGGTGGGAGAAAGAGAGAGACTTTTGGCATCATGCAAGGAAAGCAGCAGAAGCAGCAGAAGTCTTTCTTTCTCTCCCCCAAACTCCACCAGAATGGTGCAGCCTCTTGGAGCAGGAGGCCTTGCAGGGTCCCAAAGACTCATTTTTGGTGGAGTTTAGGGGTGAGAAAGAAAGACTTTTGCTGCTTTCCTTGCGTGCAGCCAAGAGCAGAAGAAGAAAGAAGTGGAAAGAAGCAGCCCGGTGGCCAGGTGAGGCACGTGAGGTGAGTGGGGCAAGTTCCCCCCTCTGCCCTTTCCCCCCCTCCCCTCACTACCTCGCGTTGTTCGCAATGCAAGCAACGCAAGCCTTGTGTTCCTGCAGGCCATGTGGGTGGCACAGCCTTGTGTTCCTGCATAGCCTGAATTAATTGCTTTGGGGGGGAGGGTGCTCTGGAGGTGACATTTCTCTGCGGACCACCAAAATTTTCTTGCAGACCACCAGTGGTCCCCGGCCCACCGGTTGGTGACCATTAGCCTGGAGGAATGTCTCCAGTTGGGATGATGGGTGATTGGGCCATGTGATGGTCTGGTGGGTGCAGGGGAGAGATTTTTGATTTTCTTTTGGGAAGGGAAAACCCGGCACTCTCCTAGTCAGGTTTTCCAGATGTGCCAATATGGCTTCTTTAATCAATTCTTACTTGGATGGACTTTGTTTCTGAGTGCTGAATGAAATGGGAAGTTTCACTGGAATGTTGACTCTTGACTTGAGATCAAGGAAGTCTAGGTCACGTTCTGCTTCTCTTTGCATGTTGTTATTTTGCTGCAACCAAAACCCTGGCCGGATATTAGTCTGGTTTATTAGGTGACGTAAAAGCAGCTTGATGGACATAACACTGTCGAGCCCCAATGGCTGGTGCCTACGTTTGTAAATTATTCTGAAATTCACATGAATATGCAAAGGCTTCCCAAATGTTGGGTTTGCCTTCTTTTCTCTTTTCAACCCATAGAAACAGCACGCGTGCCAATAACTGAGTCTAAACAGCTCATTTATCATCGGATGTGAATTGTTTTGTGGCTGAATTGGTGCAAATTGAGCATCAGTGTTGCAGAATAGGCAACAGATTGCACTAAAAAAAAAAAAGAATTTCCACACTGTTTGTTAGGTAGAATGCATGGAAAGATACCAAGGCAAAAAAAATCAGGGTATTGAGTTCAACTGAATACTCTTATTCCAAGCTCTGCTAGAGGTTAAACAAGGATCTGTGGCATTGAAAAATAGTTCAAAGGTCTTTAAACTTGGCAAGCTTAAGACTTGCAGACTTCAACTCCCAGAATTCCTGAGCTAAAATCATTGAAGGAGGAATTCTGGGAGTTGAAGCCCACAAGTCTTAAAGCTGTCAAGTTTGAAGACCCCCTGCCATAGTAACTCCGAACTTGATTTCAGATTCAGTCCCTGTGTTCAACTAAGAGCTCGCAAAATTAGATGCATACATTTGGTGAGGTTTCTCTATCCTTAAGAGAAAGTAAAGAGATTAAGGTTAAGAGGCATAGTCTGACGTTCTAGGCTATCTCTTGAAAAGAGGCAGAACCCATCCTCAGGGAACTTCTCTCTAGCAGAATGTGTTACGTTTGCCTTCATTCGTGAAATATACAGTTATTCCAACTCAACCCCACAGGTTTCATTGGCCTCAAGCCAGCTCATCACACCAGCCCGTTCTCTGCTCCTAATCCTCAACCTCTTCCCCTGGGATGCAAAGAAAGCCAGCACGCTTCCACCTCGCCAAGAAGCGCCCTGCCCACTTTGCTCCATTGGATCTTGGAAAGCCAAGTTTTGCAATCTCCTCGCTTGTCCAGGCGGTGCAATGGGGACGTTCTCTCCACCCTTCCCCCGAAATCGCACTACCGACAAGATTCCCGCCTGCCAGATGGGCTGATTATCCCGCGGTGACCAACATCACATTTTGCTACCTGAGCAGCTGACGGCAGAAGCAGCTCAGCAGCTCAAAGATGAAGACAAAAAGGGACTCAAAGCAGCAACAGCAGCTGAAGAAAAATGGGGCCAGCCTTCTTGGAAGAACAGAGCAAACACATTTTAGGGCCCCGTTGCTTGCAAAGGCAAAAAATCTGAAACTGCTGTATTTAGATTCCCCTCCCAGTTCAGGATGCTTACGAAGCAGTTAAAGATATATATGTCCTTTCTAAAAAAAAAATAAAAAAAATTGAGGAATGGAGACCACAAAAACAGAAATAGAACCGGCAACTTCTCCTCGTCTCAGCCTTGCAACACTGCCCTAGATTCCAAAAGGCTGGTTGGTGAGAGAGACCAGGATGTTAAGAAAACATCAAGCAAGGGTAGAGTAAACCAAAAGGAAACCTATACCCTATCTCTGGAAACAGATCGTTAGCCAGAAATAAGCAGGAAGAAACTTTGATTCTGCTGGGTTACAGGGAAAAATATTTGAGTCAACGGAAGATTCATCACAACTGGACGCTGCAGCCAGGGGCCAATCACGCTAACTACGTTCCATGTTTTTGAAAAAGCAAAGTAGGGCGCAAACTGGATTTAATAGTCTCCTTGTCTATCGATAAATGAGGATTTGAATATTACGGGCCAAACGTCTCATGGAGATTCTCTCAGTCCTCCAGGTCAGGCTGGTCTCGAAGAGGTGCTTTTTCCAAAAGGCTTCTGGGCTTTTCTTTTTCCCTTTGAAAATGTTTCACTTCTCATGCAAGAAGCTTCTTCGGTTCTGAAGCTCCGGTGGCCTAGAGATGGAGCTCTTGTGTCGCAATCAGGAGGCTGTGAATTCGATCCCAGGTAGAGGCTAATATTTGGAATAGACTTGAGCAGGGGGTTGGGCTAGGTCAGTGGTCGTCAACCAGTGGGCCGGGGGACCACCGGTGGTCCGTGAGAAAATTTTGGTGGTCTGCAGAGAAATGTCACCCCCAAAGCAATTAATCCAGGCTATGTGGGGACACAAGGCTTGCGTCACTTGCATTGCAAACAACATGAGGTAGTGAGAGGGGGAGGGGGGAAACTTGCCCCACTCACCCCACGCGCCTTGCCTGGCCACCGGGCTGCTTCTTTCCGCTTCTTTCTTCTTCTTCTTTTGGCTGCATGCAAGGAAAGCAGCAAAAGTCTTTCTTTTTCTCCCCCAAATTCTGCCAGAAATGAGTTTTTGGGATCCTGTAAGGCCTCCTGCTCCAAGAGGCTGCGCCAGCAAACACTCCTTTCTGGCGGAGTTTGGGGGAGAGAAAGAAAGACTTCTGCTGCTTCTATTCTATTCTATTCTATTCTATTCTATTCTATTCTATTCTATTCTATTCTAT